ATTTAGCAGAAAAAGACATCTGAATTACACCCAGAGAGCAAAGGCAAACCTGAGCAAACCAACTGCTTTTGGCCAATGATTTCAGCTTTAAAACGATGTTTGGGGCCATTTGTTTTCACAAAGGTGCTCTCCTTAAGCCTCTCAGGGTAATCTGTCAGGGTTTCGTCTTCAGATTTTTGTTCATCTGCTTTCTTCAGTCCACTTCCTTCTTGTCAAGTCTTTATTTGTCCTTTTTGTTTTTCAGGCCTTTAATCTTCCTTTGCCCACATAGCAGCCTCGTTTCTGTTGAAGTTAGTATTCCCTGGTTCTGGTTATCTCTGTTTTTGGTGTCATGGTTTGCAGCGTCTGTTTCTGTCTATGTCTGGTCATCCACCTGAGTCCTCATATAGGGTGTGTCCCACCCCCCATCCTGTTTTATACAGTGGGCCTTCAGTCAGCCGGAGCAGGATAAAACGAGATGATGGGTTACATTAACCACGTGTTTTGTAAATAGATTGTTTTGGAATGGATTGATTGTATTAAAAACAATTTTCTAAGAGAGCATCCATGTGAGTGTTGACCATTTAAAAACGTAATGACCAGAGTATCTTAAAACCTTCACATGCTCCTGCTCTCACAACTACAAAATCAATCATGAGCACATTTCCCGGAAGGACAATCTCAGTATTTGACTTATTTCTATTTCTGGGAGGAAGATAAGATGTATAGTGAGGGTCCAAGCTTGATTTTGTCTGCATATTCACTTTGATCAGATATTAAATTATCTGTTGTTTCTTTGTCTTTGAAAATCCTGCAGTGAACATGTGACTAAACTTTTATTTCTGTTGTGTTTTTTGCATCCAGGGTGCAGTCGCACTTGAATCGGTACGTTTTTTTTTTTATATATATGCAATTATTCCACCATTTTACATGCGTGGTTGCTGTGACCTTTAATTTCTCTCTGTTAGTGTCCACAGGCCAAGGTGTGCTTGTGTGAGAAGGGAGAGAAAGGCCTTCCTGGAAACCTTGTGAGTTTTACGGCACAAATCTTTCCAGCTTTGTGAATTCATTTTTTCCGGGCTGATTTTTTTTGTTCTTGTTCTGTTTGTTTCTGTGTGTAGGGTAGAAAAGGAGACACAGGGGAAAGGGGGCCACCTGGTTTAAAAGGATCCAGGGTTTGTGATAACACAGTCCTTTTCCTAAACATCCACTTCTATAAATCTCATACTGAACTTATTTCTTTTCAAAGGGTGAGTCGGGTTTGGACGGCCGACCTGGAAATGATGGTCCACAGGTAAAAAAAACAAATAAAAAACTCACAATCTTTTCTAACATCAGCTTCACGAGATTAAATCCTGACCTTAAAACTCCCCCAGGGTCGTCCGGGTTATAAAGGCAACAAGGTGAGTCAGTGCAGCGACTTTAGGAACCAATGGGCTGTTTGGGAAAACATCTGCAGGGTTTAACCAGATGTTTTTTGGTCTCTCAGGGGGAGAGAGGAGAGTGTGGCCCTCCTGGAGAAAAGGGTGGCACTGTAGGCTCAAAATTTACCTCAATATGTCCGTCGGTATCATGCATGTTGTTTCCCTCTGATGAAATTTAAGATTATTGATGTCTTACAGGGACCAGAGGGACCTCCGGGTGCACAGGGACCAAAAGGAGCACAGGTAATCTTGCTTGCCAGTGAACGGAAACCTGGAACAGAGTTGCACAATTTTTCTCTGGTTTGAAAAAGAAAAAAAAAGCTTCTCTTTGCCTGATTTAAAATTAAACTCAAAGTAATCTTAAGAATATAATGTGCCCATTTCAGAGACAGTCTTTTCATTTCGGGTCGTTTTTGTGCTCATGAAATGATTCCTGCATCCAGCTCTCATCCTTCACGATCTGTGTATACAGTCTGGTACCTGCCAGTCACATTAATGTACAGACATCAAGATTTATCAACATCAGACAGTCTGTCCTCGCTTCTATATAAAAAAATGCGACTGAAATTGGCGTTTTGTTCCTCTCTGCACTAATGGAATGTGAATTTTGGATTATGGGTAATCCTGGCACCAAAGCTGTGAATCCAGGCTTGCAGGATATTATTCTTTCGCAGGAACTGACTTTTTGTGCCGGGATTAGTCGGTGGACCTGGCTATCACCCTTCCTCCCCTGTGCCACTGGCACAGTGTCAAATTAACCTTGTTGTTTTTCGAGGCCTGAGAATCGAACGGAACGACAGACATGAGCGTCGGTGTTGAGCCTGTTGCCGTTTAGGTGGCCGTACAACATGTGGCTCTGTTTCTGAGCGTTGCTGCAGAGTTTTTTGTTAGATAACAAAAAAGCAGAAGACTGACTAAATTGTTTAATTGTTTCACAGGGTGCTGTGGGACCAATAGGAGACATAGGTCCCGAGGGTCCAGCAGGACCCAAAGTAAGTCCATTAAAAGTGCAAAATCCCTCCAGTTACAGCCATTTGAGTTGTTCTCTGTTACGCAACTTCCCAAAAATAGCAGCCTGTTTTATTGTTGACAACAGCATGCACATTTACCAGTTATACACATTTCTGTTTACAAAGACTGCACACACTTTATACAATTTCTACAAAAGTCTTATAAAAATGTATATTTTGACAGAGGCACAAAGCAAACCAGGGGTTAGTTTGAATGTAATAATGTCTGCTCTGACATATGTGCACAGGAATGCTCACACATATCCAAACACAAATGTATAAGAACACTTTCCGACAGATAATGCTATATATAAATGTTGGGAACTATACAGAATGTGTTGTTTGCTGCATCTGACAGAAGCTGCATAGTTCTGGATTCACATATTTTATGAAGGAGGATCTTGTTTCAACCATCTAATTGTTAGACATTTAAAAGCAGTGATCAAAATATTTAAAAGGTATTTCTCTGCTTTTCTGTCAGTACCTTTGTGTAGCGCTCCCAACATGGAAAATGTGCACATTTGCAACTTTGATCCCTTTTAGTGATTGATTGTGAACATGATTACAGAAATAAATACAACTAGAAGCCAAACAACTCTTTTGCCACAATGCACAGCACCTGGTTGAACTGGATTTTGATATGTAGGGTTTAAAACCCTTATAACCAGAGCCATTTATCCCAGACATGAATAAAAAAGAGCCAATCAAAGATCCTGGACACATGGCCACATGCAGCTGGATACCAACTCTCATTCCCTGCCACACCGCCTCCTCTCCACTATGTTGAGCCGTGATCACATGAAAAAAAAAAGTCTGAACCGTTCACTTGTGACAGGGAGACAGAGGGCCCAATGGGACACCCGGACCTCCAGGAGACTTTGGGATTGGATTCCCTGGAGCAAAGGCAAGTTCATTTCTAGACTCAAAGAAGACTAAAAGTGCTTCTTTCTTTTGACGTTCATATTTCTACTTGTCAGTGAATCACTGGAAGTTGTTTGTCATTTATAGGGTGAAAAGGGTCTCCAAGGAAGGCCAGGCCCCGCAGGCCCCGTTGGGATTGGAGAACCAGGACTTCCAGTAAGTGTGAAAATGATTGCTGTAAATTCCCGAAGATCCTGGAAGTAGTTTATTTCTTTCAAATCTGTCTTCACTAACTATGGTTAATGCTCAATTCAAACGAACCAAAACATGATTTTTTTTCCTTAAAAGCTGTGATTCTCTGAGACTTTGCACGGTTCGGCCACATTGTCCTGCCCTCCAAGTGTTTTTCATTAGAGCTGTGTCTCTTCCAGGGACCACCAGGGCCCTCTGGAGCACAGGGAAACCCTGGACCTCCGGGAGAGGGGTTCCAAGGACCAAAGGTGAGTGATATCTTAATTCACACGAAGCATCTTGAATACACTTTAAAACAGTGATTTTCACCTGATAATTAAAAAAAAAAAAATCAACTGAATAGTTTCCATGTGCCACATTTGCAAAGAGACATTTGAAGAAGAAATAAACCTTTGACTCTGGTTGTCCATTGGTATTATGTAGGTTTAAAACTTTTTCATAGCCGGAGAATCACAGTACGAAGACATTTAAACTGTCGCCTGTATTTTAGGGGGATCGAGGCTTTGACGGTCCACAGGGCAAACGTGGACTTTCTGGTGTTGGGATCAAAGGGGACAAGGTGAGCTCACACACCTCCTCAGGATGGTGTCTTTGGGACGGACCCTGAACCCCACATTGGTGCATTCCTTGTCATCTGCTGTCCTTTTAACTTGCTTTGGGTTATAGCGTATGTTAAATGTGCAAAATATTTGAAATACATTCACGTCCCAGTTTGCAGAGCTGGCTACTTAAGGATATTGTTGTTTGGATGTCCATCAGGGTAATCCTGGACCACCTGGGATTCAAGGTCCGAATGGCGCTCCTGGAATAGGACTTCAAGGAGAAAAGGTACAAACTGGATTAATGATTTTTAAATTGCAAAGTTTAAAATCTTACTCAAATATTACAACTAACTCTTGAGAAATTCACTTTTTTTGGTAAATATATGAATATTGTTGAATACTGAAATTCAATATTTGAATTAATTAAATTTGTATGGTGTGTGCAACATGTTTCTTTTTAGTGTCATTCCATATCTTATTGGTACTCCTGAAGTTCAGCCATAAAATATATTTTTAACAAAAGGTGAAGGCTTACGTGTTGTAAGTAATGAATACAGTCTTTTCCCTTACTGAGCTGATGAAGGAGTGACCACAAACTTTATGCTTGGTGTCAAATGGTTCCTTACTCCATCTTCTTTCCTTCAGGGAGACAGGGGCCCAATAGGACCAACAGGACCCAGAGGAGCTGCGGGTATAGGAGTGGTTGGACCCAAGGTACAGTAAGACTGTAGAAATATAGAGAAAATGTCTATTCTGTAGAAACATGCACTTTTGACAGCAACAAACTGTTTATTTTTAGCTGAGATACTAAAACAGATTGTACCATTTGCTCCTTACCCCCGCTGACTGTGTGACCGCTGTCCTCAGGGGAACCAGGGCCTCCCGGGTGAGCCTGGACTGCCCGGGGAGAGAGGTGTGGGTCAGCCGGGACCCAAAGTAAGTCCTCAGAGTCAGTCTGCTGTTATCCGGAGTAAAAGAACGGATTGGCATTTTCAAACCAGTCACCTGCTTTTTTTTTACTCAGTCTTTTTGTTTTTCTCCAATTTAATCACACAAAATGTGGAGTATTAATGAATCCACTTTAGAGATCCTTTTTTTATGTTATAACCTGATGGCTCTTTGTATTCGCTTGATGGTTAAAATCCAGATAAGACGGAAATTTTGAGCTCTGCTGTTCATTTTGAATGTCTGTCTGACTGCTCATTTTCTTCCTCTAAGAGCTTAAAAGGTGCTGTACACATGCTCTTTGTTTTTGGATCTTGGATTTCTTTATCTGACCCCAAACTAAACGCGACATCCCAAAAAAACTCCCATTTATTCATCGGGGAAGTCCAAGACCAATTTTATCACAAAGCGGAAGACTTCCTCTTGTGGAAACCTTCATTTCTATTATTTTGAATATATCAAAAACAATCCCAGCACATTTTTGCGAACTTGTCAAATTTTCATTCCTTTTCCAGGGAGACCCTGGACTTAGTGGCTTACCAGGAATATCAGGTCAACCCGGAGACGATGGAAGTCCAGGACAAAAGGTTAGTAAAGGTAGAAAAGTTTCTGTGTGACTGTCCCCCTTCTCTGATTTCTTCTTAAACCTCCGCAGGGAGACATCGGATTGCCAGGCCCCAGAGGACCTGAGGGAGCTCCTGGCAAAGGAGCGTCAGGGGAGAAGGTAGCACCAGATTTCTGTTAAAGCTGCGTTTTCAACCCGAGGAATCGCCATTTGAAGGCCTTCTGCAGAGCTGACGCTGTGCTGCTTTGGCAGGGAGACCGAGGGGACAGAGGGAGCAGAGGTCAGCAGGGCCCAGCTGGACCTATGGGACCAATGGGGCCGAAGGTACCAGCGTGCACCACAGAAACATAACGAGCCAATGAGATGTCAGGCCGGTTTGAGAGGCTGATTGTCACAACTAACTTCAAATGTATCAAAAGTATTGGAGCACCAAGGCATCTCCCTCTTGTTGTTTTGGTTTTTCAGTGAAGACTTTTGGGTCTAAGATCAAAAGATGAGATTAGAGTTTAGAATATCCTTATTTGATTGCCTTTATTTGACCTGGATGTCTGAGAATCTGCCCCCCAAAAAAATCTCCGTGATCCCAAAGCCTAAAGGAAAACTAGGCATTGATGAGTCATTCAAAATGTCTGAGTCCTACCTCTATACCCTACCACTGATGGTTGTTATCCGTCCCAGGGGGAACCGGGCATGATTGGGCCCCCAGGAACTACTGGACCTCCGGGCCGGGGGATCCCTGGTGCCAAGGTAAGCTGCTGTGGTGCCAGCTCAAAAACGCTGGAACGTCAACAACATTCTGATTTTGGGTTTTCTCCCAGGGAGAAATCGGTCCACGGGGTCCTCCGGGGGCAATGGGAGAGACGGGGATCGGGTTAGCCGGACCCAAGGTGAGCCTCGTGTAGTAAACTTCACTCACCCATCAGAGAAGAAATGGTAAATACGGTATTTTCTGCTTTGCAGGGAGATAGAGGGCCACCCGGGCCGGTGGGGCCACCCGGGCTGAAAGGGGAAGGATTCCCTGGACCTCCGGTGAGCATAACAATATATGAAAGCCTCCTTTATCGCATAACTCTCTGTTTTTTCAACCCTTTTTGAGCCAAGGTACATTTTTTCATAGAACAAATCACGAGGCACACCACCAACCAAAAACAAATCTGTAGCCGCCTATAATTACACTATACTTATTCTTATTTTATTCTTATCTTATCTTAAGTGTCTTGAATAGGAATCAAATAAAAACAAACATTTATTTTTATCATATTTTATATTTCTTCTTTCAAATTGCACTTAACATGTCCACTTCAATGTACAAAATTATATACAAAATCTAGTCATAAGGAATTATTACATGATTACGCCACCAGTCACTAGAACAGCACAGGCACTCAAAAATGGTATATTATTTGCAGATAATTAATTCTTTATCAAAAAATCTTTTTAGACCAATTAGGTGAAAAAGGATGATTTTCTACGGCACACCTGACCATCACTCGCGGCACACTAGTGTGCCGAGGCACAGTGGTTGAAAAACACTGGCTTAACTGATCCTGGTAATCAAATCAGCTCTACAGGAAGTGTTATTTCTGACCCGATTATAGGGGCTTCCAGGGCCTCCTGGTCTGACAGGAGAGATGGGAGCAGATGGCTTCGGGTTACCGGGACCAAAGGTAATAAAGAAATTAAAAATCACTTCAATTTTTCCCCTTTTGAATTGACAAAGATGTGTTTTAGTTCAATATATTTGGAGTTATCTGAGAAATGTCTTGAAAACTTACATTTTCATTTGATATAAGGAAGTGTTGGAGTATGAAATGACAATAAATAGCATAAAATTGCATGGGATGTTTGTTATCATTGTAGTTTAGTCTCACGTTAAATATGTTAACGGTTCCACATTTTCTCTCAGGGCGACAGAGGCTTGCCTGGACCTCCAGGACCTGCTGGGTCACCAGGAATTGGTCTGATTGGTCCAAAGGTAGTCACTTAAAAACAGACAATGATTCTTGTTTCATTCTTAGAAACCTTGAAACTTACAGCTGGGAAATAGTTTCTGATTTGCTTAGGAAAAGTCTTCTTCTCCTGCAGGGTTCAGTGGGTCAGATAGGGCCACGTGGTCCTCCAGGACTCCCTGGAGAAGGCATTCAAGGACAGAAGGTACCGCTGTTTATGAATGGTTACCAGGACATAATCATACGTCAGCAGCTATGTAAAGACATTTTAAATCATCCGATTAGAGCGTAACGTAAACTGTGCTGAATGTCTTCAGGGAGATCCTGGATTTCAGGGAATCCCTGGGCCCAGAGGTCCTCCAGGACAAGGTTTGCAGGGGGACAAGGTAACACAGCATCATCTGAGCCCAGAAGAACCCCTCCGAATGAAAATAAACTGCATTCAAATATGTTTTGTCGAGCCTGACTTCAATGAATTGGTTTAATAATGCAACAGAAGGGGAAAAAAGACACATCTGGTTTAAAGTTCCAACACAGAAAGTCGGGGGAAGGCGAAGGATTCAATCAAGATTCTCAGACCGGTTCAAATCTCTGTGTTCAGCACCAGAGGCAACATCCCCAGTTGTTGTTGCAACCATTGAACCACAAGAGATTTTGCTGATCTGATTAAAGCAATCCATTTTTGAGACAATTCTAGTCTTTTTTTTATGTGCTACATGACTACCTTCCAATTGGAAAAATTTGCCCTCGATCCAATATGGCGTATTTGAAGGTGGGATTATGGACATGGGCTGAGGTATGCAGATATGTCATTTTCCCTTTTGTTTCAGAAATCTAAAAGTTTTCTGTTACTGTACAATAGTATATTTTCTCTGTGGGACGTCCGGTGGTCAAATCTTTTCATGCAGACCTTAGAAGTGTTTCTTTAATTCCTGCAGGGGGACCGAGGATTGAGAGGTGAAACTGGCAAAAAGGGAGACAAGGGGGAGCCCGGACAGTCGGGAGAAAACGGACCTGTGGTACTTTTGTTTTTGTCGCTGATAGTCCGATGGTCTGAGATGTCATACTGTCATTTTAACGTAACAAATTTTAAAATGGACCTGTCTCAAATTACAGGGCAGAGTGGGAGAGAAAGGAGACCCAGGACTAACCGTGAGTATATCAATGCACTCGCTGAGAAAAGTAGAGCAACAGTTTGTGATTTCAAACCGTTTTCTCTCTTGATTTAAACCAAGTTTATTAAATCTTTTTTCTTGCTACTCTTGTTTAATTTCCAGCAAACCTGAACTTTGTAAGTTTTAATGTGAGCCAACTTAGACAGAAATTAGACTTTTTAACCTGAATTTTCCATTAAAAATCAAGTCAAATGGCAACTATACGAGTTGGACCTCTTGGGGGGTATCATAACTTGTCAAGTTATGATAAGAGACAAACAACAGTGATTAACCACATTTGATTCTATTCTATTCTCTCACAGCGGGACGAGATCATCCAAATAGTTCGAGACATATGCCGTAAGTATACCGCCTGAACAGGATGAACCGTACAGGGAATGCTTATGCTTATGTTTATGCATTTGGCAGACGCTTTTATCCAAAGCGACTTACAGAGTAGACACAGTATTACATTTCTCATCACTATGACAATAAGCTATATAGAGGAGAAACACTGATCAGAGTCAGTGGTGACAGCAAGAGATAGAGGTAGAGGGGGACCACAGAAGGAGCTGTGGCGGGGATAGAGGTACGGGTTAGGGTTAGGATAGGAGATGACTACCTATGCCCGCTGTCAATGTCCGTCCCGTCCCCATTCCCCCAGGTTGCGGGGTGAGGTGCCCTCAAACCCCCTTGGAGCTCATCTTCGTCATCGACAGCTCGGAGAGCGTCGGCCCCGACAACTTCAACGTCATCAAAGACTTTGTGAACGCGCTGGTGGACCGCACCTCCATCGGCAGGAACGCCACCCGCGTGGGCGTGGTCCTCTACAGCCACATCGACGAGGTGGTGGTCAGCCTCAAGCAGGAGGCCACGCAGGACGAGATCAAGTCCAAGGTGCGCTCCATGAACTACATGGGCGAGGGCACCCACACGGGCAGCGCCATCCGCAAGGCCAACCAGATGTTCAAGGGGGCGCGGGCCGGGGTGAGGAAGGTGGCCATCATCATCACGGACGGCCAGGCCGACAAGAGGGACTCGGTCAGCCTGGAGAGCGCGGTGGAGGAGGCCCAGGAGGCCGACATCGAGATGTTTGTGATCGGGGTGGTGAACGAGAGCGACCCCCGGTCGCTGGAGTTCAAGAAGGAGCTCAGCTTCATCGCCACCGACCCGGACGGCGAGCACGTGTACCTGATCGACGACTTCAAAACGTTCCAAGGTGACGCCGTTTCGTTTTTCAACGCCCAAAAAGGGGAATTCTGGGGCTTTGTTCGGTAGAATAAAATCGAGGACAGGATAAGAGGGCCCAAAAGAAAAGAGACGTCCAGTTCATAGGATTGTGAGACAGAGATGTGAAAAGGCTGAATTAGGTGTGTAGAGGTGTGTGATGGGACATTTTAAGGTGTTTAAGCTACATGTGAATTATATTGATAAAATAGCATCATCACAAATGTATCATTATTTGGACTATTTTTCATTCCAGCCAGCTTTAATTTATCCTTCAATTCTTTTTTCAAATCCAAATGCATTACTCTAAAGTAGTTTCCAATCCTTTAATTCACATATTAAGGGGTCAAGGTTTGAAGTGTGTTGATTATTTTGCATATCAGCCAAAATGAGCCTCTCTCAGAAGTTGTTCAGACGTGTTAACAGCGAAGATTTCCAAACTTATTTGGAGCTCATCCGCCTATCTTCTCAGGAATAGACGTCTCAGCAAGTTCACCCCAAAGTCAAGACCGCACAGCGTTCAGAAAACTCCAGACAGAAATTTAAGAAATTAGATTTATCATTGAAAACACAGGAAAAGCATCTCTTTAGACACTTTTCTACATACGTAGTAAATATGCTTCTCTCAGGCTAAGACAGTTTTATAAACTATGGTTTGATCTTCCGGTTATGCAGCTCTGGAGAAAAACCTGCTCACTTGCATCTTTGAAGATGGAAAGAGCCACTTGTTCGCCCCCATCCCGAGCACCCTGCTTCTTCCAGGGATCCCAGAGGTCTCCAGCATAGTTCGAAAGCCGCCATTCAGGGAAGAAACAGACACAGCCACCTTCAATGGAGACTTCAGGAGGGTTCAGATAGTGGTGAGGAAAACAAAGATGTGCTTTTTCTGCCATTCTTTGCAGTGCTATGATAAGAAAAAAGGAAAATCAAACCAACATAACTGAAGAATATATTTGGTACTCCATTTAAAATGCTGGATAGCTGGATTTCCCCACACACCAACAGCCGGCCATAGTATTTATTTCATTAAATCACTACATAACATATATCAACTGTATCTACATAAATTAACAAGATGATGACAGTATAGAGAATTCTTACACTTCATTTTAGACGAAATTTGCTGTTTGAGTTACATATTTATGATAGGGAAATCTTTTTTATTTGAACACGAACCAAGTTTTTCCATTAAAAAAAAAAAATCAAATAACACATCTTTGCATAAGTGAGTCATATCTATAATAATACATAAGATTAAATATTCACATGTTCAAAGTGCTTGTGAAAGACTCAAATCAATTTTGTTATAATTTGTGAGGCAGCATTCTGTTTCTTTTTTAAATGACTTAATCGTTCTCAGAGTAAGCTGATGATGTATCAATGTATTTTGACTGCAAAAGAACGGAGTTTAAACGCGTGTTTTCTCTGGTTTGAAACCTTTCCTCGGCTGCCACAGCCCGGCCCCTCGGCCCCTCGCTCCGACCGCGAGCCGGTGGCCCCCCAGCGGCCGCAGACCGACGGCGACAGGACCTCGGAGACCCAGAGGTTTCCCTTCTTCGACAGAGAGCCCTTCAGACCCGCGACCGACTTCCTGCCACAGCTGGACGTGAACAGCCCCCCGCAGGAGATGACCGGAGCCATCAGACTGGGGCTGCCCTCCAAGAAGGCGGCGCCAGCTCCGGCTCCACAGACGCCCCCCCCGCTGCACGCCGACCCCCACTCATCAGGTCAGTCCCCACTCAAACCCGAGTCCACCTTCACCCGTCTGTCACTCGTTCTTTTTTCAGTTTCCCCTTCAAGTGGAATTCAGATGATACTTCAAAGACAACATTTAAAAGTCGGTGAGAGAGAACAAATGATCTGGGTTTCAGTCTGGGTCAGTTTAATTTATTATGATGTAAGAACTCGAGTGTCAGACTTTATATGAAGCTAAACATGCAGCCACATGGTTTCTATGGTGGAAAATAACTATAGTGTCACAAAAAAAGAATAAAACCAAAAAAAGAATAAATGTGGAGATATATATGAAGAAGAGCAGTTTTTAAAGCATTTAGTCAAATCTCTATTTCTTTTTTAGTAAAATGCTCGATTTTTCAAAATTTTTCTTATTTTCTTTAGTTTCCCTAGTTTGTGTCGGATTTCCTCTCCAGAATTTGCTCTGACTCTTTTTTTGAACCGCATCTGTTTTAAGAGAAACTCCTTATCCATCTGAAATATTTCACTGTTTCAGTTTAATTTATTATGATGTAAGAACTCGAGTGTCAGACTTTATATGAAGCTAAACATGCAGCCACATGGTTTCTATGCTGGAAAATAACTATAGTGTCACAAAAAAGAATAAAACAAAATTAAATAAATAAATGTGGAGATATAGAGGCATGAGTTTTAAAAGCATATAGTAAAATCTCAATTTCTTTTTTAGTAAAATGCTCTATTTTTCAAATTTTTTGATAACTTCTTATCTTCTTTAATTTCCCTATTTTGTGCAGGATTTGCTCTCCAGAATTTGCTCTGACTCTTTTATGAACCGCATCTGTTTTAAGAGAAACTGCTGATCCATCTCAAATCTTTCACTGTTTCGGAAACCATTTATGATCACATTAAAAAAAACATAGGGCTGAATAATCTCAATTAATTTAGTCTGAACTACCCTGAATCGAGTGTTCATTCCATGCTTCTGGGCAGATTTGTGACATTCGAACCTTTAATTAAAGATCTCCCAGCATTCCCAGCCTCCCTCTGCTCCGGGGATATCATGCAGTCGGTACATTTCGGCTGCTTTCTGTTGTGTCCTGCAGAGGGCTGCAGGCAGATCCTGGACCCGGGACCATGCCGGGACTACGTGGTGAAGTGGTACTACGATGCCACGGCTGACACCTGCGCACAGTTCTGGTTCGGAGGCTGTCTAGGAAACAGAAACCAGTTTGAGACTGAAAGAAGCTGTAGAGAAACATGCGTGAAAGCCTAACCATTCCTTCGAAGTGCTCACAAACCATTTTGGTCTTATTTTCTGTGTAACTGTGCCATGAAGCTCACCTCATCGTCGGTGCTTTAGTGTCCGTTTGTTACTCTGACAGCGATGGGATTAACGAGCATCAAGTGTTAGAGAAGAATTCAATTTGATGTTTTAAATTGTCAAGTGAAGTTAGTTGTTGTTGTTCGATGTACTTTTCCCTGTTCCCAAAGCTGATCCTTGTATTGCGTGATCAAAAAAAGATCAAATTTTTCCATGTCATTTCTGTTGAAAGTGAGAAACTTTGACTAACAAACCACTAACCAAAAACTAAAGGTTATATTTTAAGGGCATTTCAATGAAAATGCTCTTCCTGTTTGTCACTTTGAACGTTAATATCTTCTAAATAAATGTAAAAAAATCACACTGTCTTCCCACAAAAAAAAATCTGCATTTTGGGTGGAAAAAGTCTTTTTTTTCCCCTGTTTGATATCTAAAATTAAAAAAATTCCAGTCCAAACCTCTGATGGTCATCCACATCTGCATGCCTCTGCTAAACAAACGATCGGTTGAGAATAGCAGCGCAGATGTTCAGCCGCTGAAGTTTTGGAGGGTTCGGCTCCCGTCTGGAAGCCACCGGGGAGATGACTCACAGAGAAACACCTCCTTCAACCCCAAGTTTCAAAGTGGACGTGATTACATGCAATTACAGAGCAGAAGCCGCTCTCACAGCAACACGTCTTCATCCCGAGACACAAAAAAAACCCTCATGGAGGGCCAATTAAGCTGTAAAGGCTTTTCTTGTTGAGTTTAGGGGCAACATATCCAGGAAATGAGAGGAATGAGATCATGAAAAACTAAAACCAGTGGGAAAATAGACGTTTAATCTTAGATTGTCAATAAAGGAAACATTTGTTTATTCTAATAAGCATTTCAATAAAATAACTTTTAGGGAGTGGCATCATTTGTAGAAGACAAGAAAAGAGGACATGGTGATGTATCCAGGCGGCTGGGATGGATTGGGATCCTTCCCTTGGAATAAGCCAAAGTAGACCACCGTGTTGGACTGGAGCCCGCTCATGTCCAGCTGAAAGAAGACAGAGATGAAGGATCTGCCCATTAATGTCACCTGGATCTCCACTGGGGGAAAAAAAACTGTGTCTAAATCAGCATGCTTTAGATCACGACAAAAAACAACTTAAACCACAAGATTTCCCTCCAAAAAAGAGGAGATGAAAGGCGTGCGATGGAGAAATTACTGCCACTTCAAATTACATCTTAAACTACAACATGTTAAATTGTGTTATTAAACTGAGCCCCAAAAACATCTGAAAGATGCTTTCAGAAAACACAGGAAATAGGTTTAAATCAGTTTAGTCTGATAGATTAAGTAACAGATAATGGTCATTTTACACTTTAATATCACTACTCTACATAGTTTTCTACACATTGTTATTGTTCCCATTGTCATTATTGCAAATGCATAAGTAATGCATTTAATACAACATGAAACCAGAGGAGAATTCATTCTCCCGCTCAACTTGAATAAACTTTTAATTCACTAAGAATAAAGAGCAGGAAAAATGTCCCATTTATAGCAACTTGTACTCACTTTACTCGACTTCATCGGTTGCCAGAAATCCCCCACATGCACTCATATCCTTGATGGACAAATCCCAGAGGATCTCTCATTTAATCTACTCTGAGGGCGCTTGTGCTGAAAAGAATCTGCCTGAATAAGTGAGGAGCCTTCAGGGTCAATAACTCACTTCAGGATAATCAAGTGCTCCTTCCGTTTAATGGTTTAACTTCCCTGTAAAGTTTTATTTAAAAGCTTCCAGGGAAAAGAACTGAAAAGATGTTCATTCAGATTTGATATGTGCTTTTAAAGAGTTTTTTTTTTATTGTTGTTATTAATTGATATTACACATTTTCAGTCTTTTCAAACACTTTCGGAGGAAACGAGTTGCTGAAATGTAACAGCTGAGTTGGAACTAATGAGAATGAACCAACATCATCCGACAGCTTGGAAAGTTCCACATTTTGGGGGATTTCCAAGAATTGAAGAAGCAGCTGTTTTCATTAACCATCTAAAAAATTAACTGTATTAAGCTTGCATAATGCATCGTAGAGAAACGGCAGAATGGTCACTTAGCTGCTTTTTGTTGATTAAATAATCCGACAGACCTTCAATGCACCATCACTTGCCTAAAAGCGTCTGTTTTTTGGTTCCCGACTGGAGGGTTACAGCAGTCGGCATCCTCAACGCCCTCAACAACGAGCCCCGACAGCAAAGGCTCGCAGGGGGGAAAAAAATAAAAATAAAAAAATCACTTTTTCCATTTAAAATAATTCCAGGACAGACCTGTCTGGTGATGTCCGTCCTCCAGGGGTCCACCTGCAGGCCGTCGCACCACCCCCCTCGGCCGTACAGCCACGTGCCGTGCTCGTTGGGTACCGCCCCCCCCCTCACGCGCATGGTGCAGCCCAGAGCTGTTCCTATTGGTCCAGACACCGCAACCAAAACACAATCGGTGCAAGACAGGGACCTCCAATCAGTGGCTCTTAAATAATTCCTAAACACAATTATTCATTCATTATTATTTAAAACAGAGACAAACAAGAAAGACAAGCTAACACTCCAACAATCTGAAACCAGAGGCGCCCTCTTTGGGCTTTTTTTTCTTTTCTAAAGGTTTCCCTGCTTTTAAACACCTCTGATCCCCATCAGTGCATCATCTGTGCAGATCCTAATCTTTGAATAGTTCCCTTTAATCAGAATCAAGAGAGTTAAAGCATCCAAACCCAGCAGGACAGGATTTTGAGACCCCCACTTTAAATTGATTTAACCTTAAGAAAAATCAGCATGAACACAGGCCAGATGACACCAACTGGATTTCAGTTTGGATTATTATTAAGCTCAATGATGATTAACAATCTGAGGTCCAACTCAACTTTCTACATTTTAACAAAGTAATTTCAGTAACTGTCCGAGTTTTATATCACACTGTTGGTATCCAACACAATTTTTTGGCCTGGTTAAACGCTCAAAAGTGGAAGAGTGGAGCAGAAAGCTGCCGCTGACCTGCGGAATCGAAGACGCGCGTGTTGTTGAAGACGCCGTTGGTCAGGAAGTGGTGGGAGGTGACGCAGAACTCCCCGCAGCCGTTCTCGTCGCTGCCGTGTCCCGTGATGACGGCGTACAGCTCCACCTGGAGCCCCACAGCGCCGTCAGGCGGCCGCGCGGGCGCCGGGGGAGCGGGCCGGAGCGTGCCATACCTTCTTGGTGGACGGCGGGACGGCGAATCGGAAGGGCTGGAACCTCCGGTTGTAGTCCTTGTCGAAGGTCCCCCCGCTGAACAGAGACGCCGCCCGGAACGGGCGGAGCTTCTCCACACCTGCCACACACACACAGACAGAGCTTTGCCACAGAGCTCCTGGGGTCTGGATCTGTGGTTGGGAGTTTCCTGCTGCCCGCGTGTTCCTGCTCTGTTGCCGTCATAACTTCTACCACTATCATTAGTATTAATATCATTGCCATTTTTCATCTAGTCTACGTGTTGCTGTGTTGGCTGCCTCTCTCTGCTCCCTGTGTCCTTCTCTCGCCCTTCCTCTCTCTCTCTCTTACTCTCTCTTTCCCTCACCCCCAACCGGCCGAGGCAGATGGCCGCCCACCCTGAGCCATGGTTCTGCTCCAGGTTTCTGCCTATTAAACGGAAGTTTTTCCTTGCCTGTGTCGCCTAGTGCTTGCTCATGGTGGGAATTGTTGGGTTTCTGTAATTAACTTCAGAGTAGGGTCTGACCTGCTCTGTTTGGAAAGCGCCGTGAGACAACTGTTGTTGTGATGTGGCGCTATATAAATAAAATTGAATTGAACACACCACCGGCCGTCCTGGTCTCTACAGGAGATCCGTTTTATCCGAATCGGGTGGATTCGGATAACCCAGATGGCCCGACCTGTCCCCGATTCCTGTCCTGCCCTCTTCATTCTCAGGTTTCTTTTAGACGCCTGCCTCCGAGCGTTTACCCGTCTGATTGCTGGCTCTGAATCTCAGGTTGAGGGAAACCATCCACGGCATGGCCCAGGGCGCCGTCTTCATGGTGAAGGTGCACGTGTGGCTGTCCAGCAGGGGAATGAGAGGCGACACGTCCGTCAGCCAGCGGCCCGAACCTCTGCCGACACAACACAAACACTGAAAAAAAAAACCCACCGGGAGTCTCCTCCTCCAGCTCCAAAAGCAGAAGATAATGCAAGAGGGAAACTTTTTCCTTTACAAAAAGTCCTTGCGTCACGTTGTTTTTTTATGTTTTTTTTATCATCAATCAAGACAATGATCAAAATTTGATTAGCTTTCAGTTACATTAGACATGATTAATTCTCTTCATTTTGTGTAATATTTATTGCATCCAGTTTTACTTAATGACACATTTTAGCAATTGGCGGTAAATTTATGGAGGTACTAAATGGGTTTATTGTTTTTCAAATGAAAGTTTAAAATTTATCTCATGCTGGAAAAAAAAACAGTCTGGATTATTTAGCACAGAAACACAAAATTAAAATGGAAAAACAACATATTAAAATTGTACCTATGTAGAGTCTACATGTTTTATCTGAAGCGTTCATTTTCACAAACACAAATGTGATTAAGCAAAAATACAAAAAATATTGAAATAAATGGGTTGAAAGACATGGGGCTCCTCAGCTCTAAGCTCTGCAGAAGCCTGATGAAGCTTTAGAAAGGCAGAGGGGGCCCCTGTCCTGCAGGTTTCAGAGGTTCCTGTGCTTCAGAAAAGTCCTGATTCAGACCAATGCCACACCAACAGGCCTGTGCAGAGCTTTTCTCATGCACACTAAAGACTGACGTTTCCTCTGTAGGTTATAAATAACAGATAACTATATGTAACTATAATTATTGTTGTTCTTACATGTATAAAACAATAAAAAAGATTTTAATAATAAATAACAGATAACCCTGCTTAGTTATTGTTAAACAGGCATGTGGTTAAACAGCTGACAGGGAGCAAAGGAACTATAAATGTCACTGTATTAGCAGTATTTGTAAAAAATAAATAAAATAAAGCCTAATAATTAGAGTTAGAGGTTATCAATCACACAACCCAACTTAAAAAAATTAAACAAATTCCCCTGCATGTCCTGCTTTAAAATTGTCAGATATTTTTTTGTTTTTTGATGATAATTCAAGAAGCCCGCTTACTGCATCATGTCAAATTTGATGTCAGCATGCAGTAACCTATGGAAAAAGAAATTCTACGCCGATCCCTCTCAAAAAGCGGTTTGCTGCGGCTTTGTGAGCCGTTACCTGCGGAAAGCCGTGATCCAGCGGCCCAGCTCGGCGTTGCAGGCGGGGCCGAGCGGATCGCAGCACACCAGCAGCTGCACGCTGTGGTCCCACTGGGCGCAGGACTGGTCTCTCCGGCCGGGGCAGGACAGCCCGGCGTCCAGCTCCAGAGTGTCAAAGTCCTGCAGGTCTGCGGACGCACAGCAGGAGGCTCATCAAAAACCACCCACGCTGCACTTGTCGGACTACAAGTCACATTTATTTTGGAGATTTATTCTAAAAATTCCAAGAACAGACGTCCAATCTAGTTATTTTGTTACTGAATTGGTATTTGGCATGTTTACATTACAGATGAAAAGTTATTCTGCTACACAATTAGAGTAAAGGGCACACCTGGAAGGCCGCATAAACAAATTTACACATCAATCCAGTGAGTCCAGCAACTTCAAGCTCCTAATCCTATTTCAATTATTTTTTCTAACCAAGTTGCATGACCAGCCAAACCATGGAGAAAAAAAGCGCCACTTATAGACCGGAAAATATTAGAAACAACCTCACGTCAACTTTGGGAAAACTAATGAATGATTTGGATGAAGAATCACAGATAAATGAGGCAAACTGAACATCTTCTGACACGTGCACGTTTCTCCTGCTGCATTTTGAAATGGTAAAAACAAGTCTCAACCAGTCGATCGCCAGTCCAGACTAACTAAGGCCAGAAAAATCTCCTACGTATGCCGCTGACTGGGTTACCTGAGGGCAGCTCGACCGTGGCCACCGCTCCTTTCTCGCCCTGCATCTGCATTCTGTCAAACACAGAAACCACCCGCGCAGGAGTTTGGAGTTTGATCTGCAGGTCGGCGGAGAACTCAAACCTGGAGACAGAAACACGGCTTCTGGTGAACGTCAAAGCACAAACAGCCCATCCTTGTTGGGCGGAGTGCAAGAAAAAGTCTCTGGAAGCATCATGATTACACTTGTTTTTTTTTTTGTTTTTTTTAAATAATCTAAATAATAGAGTATCTTATGAAAAAGCAGGCACATCTTCTCTCTTTGAAAGTCTCCATCTCTGCTGCTGTGGAACTTTTTAGCCAAACCAATCAGAGCTGAACAGATCCACAACATGCCATACAGAAACATAAGCTACCAGACCTAAAATGTCCCTTTAAGAACTGCTAAAGGCTTTTCTTTTGCTGTAGACTTACGATACAATTCATCCCTGAAATATAGGATTTACAGCACAGGTGCTTTCTCACCACTGGGCCTGCCAGTTGATGAAGCTGAAGGATGGGTAGAGGAACCAGCCCATCTCAGCCAGCGCCCCCTGCTGGTCAATGCCGATGAAGAAGTTTGGGGACGGGGTCGTCTGGAAGGAGACGTTCACCACCTGTCCGAGCCTTCGGCACAAACCAGAGCCTCCAGTCACCACGAGATGCCAAACACGTTGAGACATGATGTCAGGCTTTTCAAAACTAAAAGCAGGGTATTAACTAACGTTAATCATCCTAAGGATGATCGGGACAAAGCCCAACCTGTCAGATAACAGTTAATCTGTGCGAGAGGATGTTGAGGTCAACATCAGGAAGCCGGTAATCCTCCCGGTGAGCTGGCCTTACCGGAGCGCCTCAGACACCGAGACCTCCGGATGCACCATGGCAGCCGGGATGCTGAGCGGGGTGGAGCACTCGTCCCCAGCACAGTTCATGTCCCGGATCGGGTTACCAGGAAGGGAATAGACAAGGACACCCGAGGCGTTGGATTTGGCCATGTTCAGCACCTGGAAGGAAAATGAGGCGGAGTCAAACGGTGCGCCGGTCGATTTCAGGCTTCTTTACAACGTTTCACCGAAAAGGAATCTACAGAAACATGAGAAAAACAGCCAATTCTAACATCTAAGAAGTGGAAACCAGACAATTTCTGGCCATTTTTTTTTTTTTTTTACTGAAATTATAAAATATTTTAAGAAAATTAAAAACAAAAAAGGTCCAACAAAGTCCAAATAAATTAACAGAATGTCATCAGTCTCCAATTTTCCCCCATTTAGCTTTTATCACACTTCTGTTGGCCCGCTGTGGTTTGAATTAACCACTGCTGCGCCATGTATCACATCTCAGGGGCAAAAGCCTAAAAGAGACTAAAAAGTGTCACATTTTTAGGTCTGAGAGAGGGTGTGTCAAACAAAGTCACAATGAGAACAAGGTTTGATGAAAAAGAATATGCGAAATTACAAAATAAGAACCATGACATCACATTTAAAACTCATGTTAAGTATATTTTTAGTAGTCTATATCAATTAGGATAATTTAGGTACCTGAAAATGTGTTTTTTTCTTTGTAATGAAGATGGAGGAGCCAAAGACTAACACCCATACCTGTTACTAGCCCCATATGCCAGAACTAAAATGCTAAGAGATTAATATCCCTGAATTTGCACGTCTGGATGTTTTCTGGACTGAAACTGAGGGGCAGCATCACACACGCTTCCAAAAAACAGGAGCAAACAGCCAGCATAGAAAATGACATCAGACCTTGGTGAAAAAGGAGCAGTTGCCCTCCGACACCCAAGCGACCCCCCCCGCCGCCGAAGCCGAGGGCAGACACCCGTCTCCCGCCCCAACCAGCCGATAGGACCCGGGCTTCCAGCGCGCCATGAGCCAATCGTACCTGGCATCCAGCCTCTTGGCAATGACGGGCATTTTCCACCCTGGAAGAATGAGAAAAAACACCAGAAATGAGTCCTCTTAGACAAGCTTTGAAGACACCCCCCCCCCCCCTCCTTCTTACCATAGCTGGTGAAAACGGCCTGGGAGAGGCCACAGTTGTGTCCCCTGCAGCCCCAGGAGTGAAGCACACCGGGGATCCAGTTCCCCAGAGCAAAGGCCGGCACCGGGGAGAAGTGCAGCCGGGTCAGAACCTCTTTCCTACAGGACACAATTCAGCTAAGGTCCAGGACCCAAAATCACCACTGATCAGGTCTACTGAAATGGCCACGTGTTGATATTAAGCAACAACGTGAAGAGTTTGTACAGCTTGTCATTTAAGAGAGGATTTTTAAATAAGTCCTTGCGACACGTTGGTCTATTTCTGATTGCGGGGAGACGAATGCACCCGAAAATAAAGAGAATTTCTGTTCCATCTGAGTCAGTTCGGAAACATAATCAACAAAGTAACTCATACCTATGTTCCTCATGACTTCTAGTGGACAGAAAGATTTCAAATTTAAAAACATTTGCCAAAAAAATTGGATGATTTTTTAACTTTTCTCCGCTGGTTTTTTAACTCATCAAACCTTAAAGCTAACCTTGTTTCCCTTTGGTCTTCTCAGACTGAATTCAAATAAGGCTTTAGGAAAATAGATGACGTATTTAGAGGGTCAGATTAAAGTTTTAAATGGAGCATATTCACCTACAGCTCCCTCCCTCTTACTTTTTAAAAAATGTGTATCTTTAATTCCATCTATAATGTTTGTACTTCTTCCACCGTGGTGGTGACACAACACCGGCGGCCGGTGTTGTGTCAGGTCAGCATACCCCGACAGACCAGGATACCCATAGTTAATATGCATGCGCTACCTTTAGCAGAAATCTAAGAGATTAACATTGACCAAGTTTACTAGACTACTTTATGCGTGATATGATAAACAAAAGGTTGTAGTTTAAGGTAAACACACAAACTTACCAGAAAACCACACCGAAAGTCAAGTACTTTTGTTTACAAATTAACTTAGAAATGATATTTCTAACAATTTAGTATTTAAAGCATGTGCAGTCCCTTGAAAATTAGAAGATATAAGCAAATAAAAAACGTGTCAAAATTGTACATCAATTTGATCATCGATTGAACTGTTCCTTTAATCCCAACATTGAACAAGATTATCATTACTTTTTTTTTTATGTGCTAACTACAACCTTGCTGGTAGTAAGCATGATGCTCACGTTTGATTCACTTCAATTAATCTGTATCCAAGATGACGTAATGTCCAAATCAAAATCAACGATTGGCTGGGCGGGAGGTGTGTTTTGTATGGGGATGCGTTTTGTAGATGGCTGCAGGTGCAGCTAGACCCTTCTGTAAATACACTTTAACGCGGCCCCTCCCCGGTCACCTGGGGGCGGCGGCCCGCCGCAGCTGCTCCCGCATCCACAGGGCGTCGCTGAGCGCCGAGTCGTCCAGGGACACGAACAGGACCCGGGTGCTGTCCGGCAAACCCTCCACCAGGCTGGACAGGGAGGGCTCCGAGCTCCACAGGCACTCCAGAAACCCGGACTTGTTGGTGAAGGCGTGGACGACCAGAGAGGAGCCCCTCAGGGCGCCGGGCTCGTAGGACAACTCCCCGTCCAGAGTTAGGACTTTAAAAGCGGCTGCGAGGTCACCGGGCTCCGGTCCGGGCCCCGTTGTGGACCTAAAGCTCGAGAGCGACTCGTCTTCAGGTAACGTCGTGCGCCACTTCGGTCTCCCCGCAGCTTCGGTCACGTGACCCGTCACAACAAACAGGAACCACAGCAGCGCAGACTTTGAAGGCATCGAAACCATGTTTGCGCTAAAAAGCCAGAGTCCCCGAACTCACCACAGACGGCACGGACCCAGCATGACCGGCTCGGAGTCTGAAATGTTCAGGTTTTCTGGCTTCCACCGAACCAGCTTACGGACTTCTTCCTTTTAAGCTATTTCATGTCCGCAGATTTGAGCTGGAGGCGGGCCAACCGGTCCGCTATGGCAGCCTCACAGGGACATAAAGGTTAGAAAAACGCAAAAGCACCTTATCAACGTTCGATATCTTCTTCTTCTTCTTTGTGGTTTTTATTGGCAGGTGACATCTAACGTTAAGATGTATTATCGCCATCTACTGTGCTGGAGTGTGGACCAGAGCATCTCCCCCCAATCTAAATTCTTACATATAATCCTGTTACCTTAAAAAAATGCAATAACTGCTTTATTTATTTTATGTTTAATTAAAATCTTATTAAGCTTTCGTTTTTCTATACGTTCTATCTACATTCGATGTCCATCAACTATCCCATTAATCCAGATTTTTAAAGTTTGGCATGAACTTCAACAATGAAACGTGAATAACTACATTGCTTAGCATATTAAGTGATTTATTTATTTATGTATTCATATAGCCATTGTCCGATAGGATGACACATTAAAAGACTTTTAAACATGTCTTTGTTGTGGTTGTTGTTCATTTAAACAACTCATAAGGATGGATCTCAAAATTATAACTGTAGAGGAACCAAATGCATTGGGGGAAACCTTATAGTTGGGCCATTTTTAGTGAAAAATAACCCCTACAAGCAGCTTTTCTGTCAATACCTTTTGCTTTTGGAAATAATTTTAAAATACCTTTAAGAAAAAAAGGAGAAATTGTGGCTGATCTGTGGATTTTCTGTTACACTTCGATAATCTGATGGTAAATAAATTTACCATTTTTTAGTCACTGGAATTCGCTCTTTCATTATTGATATACTTTTGTGGTGAAAATTGGCTGAATTGGTGACCAATAAGGAAGTTTACTGTAAAACCTGAGTTTATGGTGAAACTCAGGTTTTTGGTTAAGCGTGAAGCGCTTAACCTTTCAGTCACTTGATTACTTCATATAGTGTTTGTATCCGGGACTAAGACAGTTTTTGTCACCAAACAGATTAATATATTCGTTTGTCTAACATTTTTTTTAGTGTTTTAATGTACTCTTATCTTATTTGATATCTGATCTATCTTTTAACTGATAAAGTAATAGAAAAGTGTACTGTGTGAAGTGGATTTGAAAATAAGAACTTGCAACAGGCATGCCTTCCTATGGAGGTGGATGATGCATCAGCTTAAAGTTTGTTTCTCTTGTTTTCACACATTTTTGGTTCTCATTTACAAATAAAAAGAAATGACAACCACTGATATAAGAGATATTATTTATTATTATTCTGTAAAAGTGAACCATTTCAGAACTTGTTGCTTTTGGATAGCAACCACAAAATCAACAGTCATCATAAACCGTCTGTTTAAAACCTCAATCCTCACAGGTTTACGGAGATTTTGCTGTCCACTGAAACTTGGTGATGGTTACAGAGAAAAAAAAAAATCATGATAGAAAGAAAACCAAAAATATACCATTTTACCCCCAACAAAGTACTGTGTACCACCGGTGTAACAGTACAGGGCAACAACCAAAATCAGAATGAAGCTAAGTAAAAACTAAGTTTGATCAAATATAATGATCAGAAACAACATAATATTGTACTTCTGTACTCATAATCAAGCAGACTAAACATGTAGGTGACTGATTCATCCAACAGTAAGTATAGGTGAAGAGTAATCTACTTTTAAAGACTGGAAATAACATTTAATTAATTAATAAATGTCAATAGCACTGTTTTCCAACAAACTGACAATCATTAAAATTCTTTAGGATAAAGTAATTTGCAAGATATTTTGTAGCCAACAGGATGTTTCCAAGTCTATAACATTACTGGTGTCCAATCTTTAGCTAAAT